GTCAGTGTATATAAATGATATATATGGAAATACAGAACATCTAATAATATATAGAACATGTAATATATAGAACATGAAATAATATCTAGACTAGGTAATATATAGAATTATTATAATATAGAATAACAAACAATAATTATATATAATAAAGTCTATATACATAGAATAATGTATAATGATGTCAATATACATGTAATGTATATGGAAGCGGGTGCTCCTGGAGATGCTGCTTGGCTTCAGAAGCCAAACCCGACACCAGAAGCTGTCTGAGGGGCCGTTTCCTGGCTGTGGGAGCAGAGCCCTGCTGAGGGCAGGAGCTGCCTGCAGGTCGCCGTGCTCGGGCGGGCTGTGCCGCGCTGTTGTTGAGGAACTTTCAGGACATCCTGTGGCTCACCGCTTCCTCAGGGCACAGTGGCAGGAGGACCCGTCACCACTGCTGCACGTCTGCGTTGTCTCCCATCCACCTCAGGTAGGTGACGTCTCCTCAGCTCGCTGATCTGGGTCAGTTAAGGAGGTCACGCACAGGTTTCCTGTGCTGCAGCGGGGTTGCCCTGCCTGGGGCTGAGCCCTGCAGGACACCGGCTCCTCCGAGCAGCTTTTCCTACCTCATGGCGTGAGGAATCGCTGCTGTGAGAGGGGAGCTCCCAGGCTGAGCTCAGAGTGGGTGCAGGAGGCTCCTGAAGTGTCAGGGCACAACCGTGGGATGCAGAAGGGGGATGGCTGGGATGGGCCAAGGCTGTTTCTGTGGACTCGGGGGCTGGCTGAGCTGCTGTGAGCTCTGCAGAGCAGCACTGGAGCCCATCCAGTGCTCATGCTGTGCTCCCAAATCCAGCGTGTGCCCTCCTTCACCCCAGCACTGCTCCAGTCGTTCTCGTCTGTGCCCAGGTTCCTGCTCTCGGTAGGGGGAGGTTGCTGTGGCCTTGCTCCCTGAGGTGCTGTGAAGGGACCAAGGAGGGTGAGTTGGGGCAGGAAAAACCCTGATGTGGAAGTGAGGAGACCAAGGGTGCTTGCAAAGAGGAATAAGGGGTGCAGCAGTGCTGTGAGGGCAGAGAACCTTCCCCGTTGTGCTAGAAGTACAGATGGAAAAACATAAATACCACCCCTTGCACAACGCAGGGAGGAGCAGGCAGAGGCAGAGGCAGAGCCTTCCTTCAGCGGTCAGCGCTGTGGGGAAACCGGGCTCCGGTTTATTTTTAAATTCAATACCCAAGAGAGGGAAGTAGGAAAGGGGAAGCTGTGCTGGGCAGGGGCTGCTGGGTTCTCCTTCCCCAGGGCAGGTGATGGCCCTGGGGGTGGGTCCAGCTCCCCCTGCCCCTGGGGATTGGGCACCCGGGGTTTGCTCCAGTCCCCCCTGCGCTGCTGCCTTGTGCCCTGGTTCCTGCCTGAACTTCCCTTTGAACCCATCCGTTCCCTCCCCTCGGGGCTTTCCAGGATGTGGCCAGCTCTGCTCTGACATTTGGAGACGTTTCCAGAGGCTGGAGTCACCCAAGGCTC